TTGGCATTTTCGCGGGAACCCTTCTTTATAGGCGACCAATTAATTACTTTCAGCGAAGAGCCTTAGGCGACCAACAAGGCGACGAAATAAGTTCGTCGCCAAAACATTTTGGCGATGAACGGTTACCTTTTAGCGACCAAAGATGGTGGTCGGCAAAATGGTTTTTTCTTGTAGTGTGGTTTGGTTTCCTGTTCTTTTTTTATTCTTTGGTTTGTTTTTGTCTGTCCTGTTTGTGTGGTTGGGTTTGGCTCCCCTTTGGGCCTTTGCCGGTTGGCTTATATGATATCTTTGTTGACCCAAAAAAAAAAAAAAAGACATTTAATTTAATATGATGTTTGGTTATTGAATTTATAAAATGAAACACACGTCTTATCTTTGTGGGGCCACTTTTTTATTTTATTTTATTTTAATTACAAATAGTCCTTGAACTTTGTCAAATTATCACCTTTGGTCCCTTATATTTTTTTTCTGACATTTATCTATATCTATATATATAAAGCAAAAGGTAGAGAATGGTGAAACATTCAAAATACCAGAAAATGCCTTTGGTTAATGCAAACATTAAGAATTGAAATTATTAATTAAATGAGGATAATACGGTAAATTCACACTTTTTCATATTTAAAAAAATTAAAATTAAAAGAAAAATTAGATAATGGATCCTATTTTTATGGAACACAACTACCCGTTATCTTTTTTAATTCTAAAATAAATTTAAATTTTTTTTAAAAAAGCCTCTCGCAAGTGGGGAAGCGTGTGCGAAAAGGCTAGTTAATCTTTATGTTACTCTGAATACATCAGTTAAAATAATTCATACGTATGAATACTTTAGGATATACGGTTGGTGTTTACGATTTTGCATTTTATAATGGGCCTTTCAGTATAGACTTAGTCAATGACCAAAATGTTTCATTTTCATTTATTACTTAGTTTTTATGATTATTTTACCCTTGAAGCTAAATAATGGAAACTTTTCTTTGGGAGAAATAATGGAAACAAATTACAAGCAATGGCAGAACTAGGAATGTTTCAATGGGTGGGCTATCTAAAGTTATTAGCTTAAAATCTACTGATCATCCTTTTTTTGTACTTACAGTTTCTATAGTCTTTCTAGAAATAAAATTAAACATTAAATCATATGAGCCACGTTAATTCATAGCTCCATTGACTAATTTCCAATAAACTTTATCATAAAACAAACATATTAAGTGCAACTGAAGAACACATATATTATCAAAATGAAAATATGTTAAACAACATAATTGAATGTTCCTATTTTAATGTGTCTTTTTTATTCCTTGGCTGCAACAAACTTCATAAAAAATGGACTTTTTTGGATTTTAATAAGTTAACTTATACTGCGCTAATATTTAAAACAAGTGAAATATATAGGTCAGATGTTTTTTCCTCAAAAACCACACTGGCCCTTATTACAAGTGTTTTACTTTGTGCATTTTTACTCCCGAATTTTGAATTCGAATTTTGAACATTTTTTGTTAAAATAATTCATAACTCACATGCACAAAATAATAAATAAAAAAACTCGAAACTATATAATCCACATATACCCGAACGAAAAAATAAATAAAGAACACATACGTACATAATGAAAACATGAATGAGTATAAGATTATGTTACTTTGTTATTAGAAGAGAATTACTACTAGTTATCTACCAAACTTTAATTCAACTTGGTCTATTTATTTAGCTTGTAATACCGCCCTGCATTTAATAAGCTCTGTCTGAAGGGGAAAAAATTTCCATATATAGCTCATGACGTATTACAAATCCCACCAAATTAAATGGAAACTCTTAGAGGGCATGACATTCCTTGCAATTTAATTTAATAGAAACTCATGAGGGTATTTCAAATCCCAAATAGAAAATAATTTAATCCAACATTTCTGATGATGATTTTGAAAATGTTGCTATCATGTTCTCTTATTGAATGATTATCTTTTGGTGCGTTATCCTTGGCTATAAATAGGGGAATTATCTTGTAGCCATCTCTTGATTTATCCAAGGAATTATCCCTTTTTATCCAAGGAGAGAGATGAAATCATGGAAATTGAATGGTTCCATTATTCCTTGATTTGTGGAGATAAGCATTATTTTAGGCCTCATTAATTAGCTAATTAAATGAATACTTAATTAACATATAATTAATGTGACCAAGGGCAGACTTGACCTTTTTATTAACTTCTAGGCAAGGCCATCCCTGGTCCCCAAGTAGTTAGGGCTGACGAGGTCGTTCCACCGTGGACCATTGACCATGAGAGAAAATCAGAAAAATAAAAGAAGACAAAAATAGATAGAAAATAGTAGAAAGATGGACTATATGGCATAAGTTATGTTCATTCGCTTCATGAACCAATTCTTAGGATTTGTGCCTAATTTTAAAGGCAATCATATTAAATATTTTTATTTGTAGCTATTATTATGAATTGATTAATCTGTTTATGAATTAAGCATGTAATAAACATATTTATGTATGTTATTGTGTGTGTCCAACCAAGTAAATGAATATCTTTAAAAAATGTTCGTCCACAATTTTTACTAGACTCTTGGGACATGGTCTTTCTTATTGTTTGTTTTTTTTTAAATTTTAGAATTAAAAAAGATAAAATGGTTGTTGTGTTCCATAAAAATAGGATTCATTATCTTATTTTGTTTTTAATATAAAAAAATATATAAATTTACCATATTATCCTCATTTCATTAATAATTTCAATTCTTAATTTTTATATTAACTAAGGGCATTCTATGGTATTTTGAATGTTTTTATATATACATATGTAAGATTATATTTATAAAAAAAAATTTAGATAAGGGAAACAAATGAAATTTTTTTATATGAAAAACTTTGTCAAACATATTTGACTTTGACCCAAACAAAGAAAGAAAATAAAATTATCTGAAAAAGACTTAAAAGAGGATAAGAGAGAGGCGGTGGTCACCGATTTGGCTTCATCCAACGTTAGCAAATGGAGAATGATGTAAACTCCCTTTTATGACAAATGCAATACACCTATCGTTTTGATAAAAAATAAATAAATAAATTAAATTTAAAAGAAGAGAAGAGAGAGGCGGTGGTAATGAGTTTAGGACAGCTGGGATTTTAATTTTTCCAATTGCTAGGTTTGATTATATGCAAAAATTTATTATACATTTGGGTTTCCTAATCAACTAAGGATTCACTCTCTCGCTATGTCTTAAAGATTCATTTGAGTTTTTATTTCTCATCAACTCACTTCACTTGGCTTGCATTCACTCTCTCTATCAATTCACTCTCTATAGTTGTTTAGAGTTAGGGTTTCTATATTTCTCTATCTCCCTTAATTCCTTACTTGCTCACTTTCTTCTATCTCATTCAAATTCAACATGCATTTCTCTCGTACCACCAAAGCATGGGTTGAGAGCATTCTCTCAAATCAACCGTGCAAACCACTGAAAACAAAAACCTCTGTGAATGTAATGATTAGTCATGGTACGACTACGCAGCAAAAGCACAACAAATTGACGACTGACCGGTTCCCATCTTCATCAACTTTCTCTTCTTCAAGGAAAGTTGTCAGCGGCCCTCTGAAAAACCCAATTCCACCGCTTTCCGACTTCGATTCAGACATTGAAACGTGGTTTGTGGGTCAAGAAAGCAAGAGGGTAAAGAGGGAGACGATCTTAACTAAGATGGCCGATATTAACGTGCATGGTCTTAGCGGTTATGGTGGTAAATTGGGCTTGAAGAAGAAACTTGAAGGTGGTTTGAAGAAGAAAGTGGACGGTGGCTTGGCTTCCGAGAAAAATGAAGTTTATTATGGGTTGGGTGTGAAAAGGAAATTTGAAAGTGCTTTGGGTTTGAACAAGAAAGTTGAAGGTGATGATCATGGCCTTCTTTGTACCCCATCAACTTCTTGTGAGGTTTCTTCATCCCAATCCCAAAGTTGCTGTGAAACACCAGTCACAGTTCTACGCCCTCATCTCTGTCATGCCTCTCCTGTCAAAGCCACCTCTGCATCGAATCATGAGATCAATAATGATCTGTCTCCGAGAAGGGCTGCTAGGGTTGCAATGTTGAAGGCTCGGTTTGCCAACACAATCCTTAAGGCAGAACATCACCATGCTCTCTACACTACAACAATTACCACCGAAGCCAAGAACGAGAGGCTTGGAGCTGCAGAAGCAGAAATTATGAGAGCCAATGAGTTCATCAAAAAGCAGCGGCTAAAGGATAGAGAAGCTGCTCGCCTTGCCCTCGAAGAGATGGAGAAACATGTGGTTTTTGAAGATAACTTCAAAACCATGAGAGACTTTTATTTGTTAATTTCTGGGCCAAAATGATCGATTTTGGTCGGTTACTGTTAGGTGAAATTGTGTATAGTGATCACTGATTTTGTACTGAATATTTCAGGAATATTTATGAAAAGTATCATTCATTCATTCATTCCTTATAAGCCTGGTAATTAATGAAGTGTTGGATCAGCTATATCATCATTATATATCATGTTCTGCGCCTAAGTTTTTGACAATGAAAGTAACTTGAAAAAAAACAGTTAAAGTCAATTTGGGTTAGACAAGAGTACAACAAAAATCCAACTTTCTTCCAGAGAAATTAAATCAACTCAAAATATTAAGTGCATTTACATTTAACAAAAGGGTATTTTGATTCTGTAATGTCTCTTCAGTTCTAAGCTCTCAATGCAGTTAATGATCAAAATGGGAAGCACCTGTACATAACTACTGGTGTCTCACTCTGTGCACCGCCGTTAATGAAATGAGAAATGGAGATTCAATAAAGAAAATTAAACTCATGAGATTTTCTTAGCTGCCCTCGTTAAATTTTTAAAGAAAAGCTCTATTTCTTCTAACAATCTCTTATCCCCAAAATTTAATCCTCCAGAAGTCTAGACTAGAGTCGGATAACATCAAGTGAATGAGATACTCGCAAACTTCTCCCATGTCGTCCAGGATGGCGACCACCTTTTTTTTATGCTCTTTTGCACTTTCATCTTGACTGTTGTTAGTGTACTTCTGTTTTCTGCAGGCCTGCAATGTGTAAAATAACTGCATTCTCTCTCTTTTTAATATGCTGCCTGAAATGACCAAGGCGAAAATTTTAGGAAAATCCATCAGCTAGTTTTCATTCTAAAACAAACTGGACAGAAGTATAATGACTCATTTTCATGTTTGAAGTACTGAAAAGGAAGCATCCTTAAGTAGGAACAAGGAGTGCAAAATTTGACAAGGATTCTTCTCCGAGATACTTAGACAAGCTAATACAGCATGTTGCATTTCTTCTTTAATTGAAATTTGTAGATTCAAATTCCCATGAACAGATGGAGTTCTGACGATAGCGACAAGGACCGAGCAGGTCAATGTAAATATACATATTATAAATGCTTTTTAAGCATCTTTGCTAGAATAGGTACTAGTGCTGTTATATGAGAGGACGATACCATTCCAGGGAAATCAGATATGCAGTTCAGAATGAGTTTTAATGTCTGATTTTGAACTGGATGGAAAGGAATGTCAGCTACATAATTTAGTACTGGAACCAAAGTTGCAAACCCAACAACAAGCCTCCGTTTGAAAGCTTGCTCAGCTTTTGACAATATGTCAAGTACCTGAACACAAGGTTTGACCACTGGATCCTTGCATTCTGTTCATCAACAAAGCTTATTAGCTGTTTTATTCTTGGGTTCATGAAGTTGGACTTTCTGAGGGTTTTTCTTAATAATACAGTCATAAATAAGCTTTGCAAGAACACATCTAATGACCATAAAAATGAAAACTTAAAAGGTTAAGCTATCTACACTAGGAACACTGAAAAATTTGTAGAAATTCAATAAATACTTCTGAATAATGATAATTGTTCACTCATAACTTAAAGAGCACAGTTTCTGGTTTCGTGAAACTCTATCAAGCATAATAATGATAATTGTTTGGCAATACTCAAATGAAACTCTATCAGCAAAAGGCAAATAAAAAATCAGTTCCATCACCAACCTCTGATGCGTATTGGAGAATAGATACCTTGTATAGAACAAACAGGATTTCTCCCCGAATATCTGATCACCCCCATGTAGTGACTGTTGACTCAGATTTCACACTCTCAAGGCCTAGCTTGCCCACTCAAATTTCATTTTGACTCGTAGAGTAAAGAAATCTAATTTCAAAGAAACATGACAAACTATTCAAGGATCTCAACCAACAGTAACTCATCCTATTTTGCGTCATAATATAAATAAGTCAATTTCAGGTTTAATTTAACAATCCTTCAACTATAGTATTGTTGTACCATGAGAAACCAAACTATCAGAATAACATTACCTTCCCAAAAAAAAAAAATTCAGAATAACATTACCCAAAGTATGTATCCAAATCTTAAAATTGATATGTAAATTCGCAAACAAACAGAATTTTAATATGAGAAACAGTAGAAGAATCAAGCTCGATTTCACCAAATTCGTCCAACCGTAACAAGGCATACACTGTTTGGATACCGAGAAACACAAATCATTTTCTCAGGAAGTAAACAGAAAACAAATCACAACCTGAAAAGTTTATCTAAGTCTCAACAGCAATTCCAGAATTCACAGACAAACAAAGAGAGAATGGAGAGATGCGGATGGTGGAAATACCGTATAAAGCTGACGGCGACTCCAGGCCAAGGCACCAGAAGAGAGGCAGAAGGAAACCCTAGCGACGAAGTCAGCAGAGAGGGAGGCAGCGGCTGATTCACAGAGAGCGGAAATGAGATGGACGATTTGTCGTGTGATGGGGTCGTCGTCGAAGGAAGAGAGCATGAACGAGAGGCGAGACGAGGAAGTAAGGGTGGAAGGCGAGGAGAGAGCGGAGGAAAGGGGGGTCGGAGGAGATGGCCTGAGAGAGCTGAGAGAGGGCGCAGGACACGTGGACGGTGATTGGGGGTTGGAGATGAGGTTGGAGAAGCAGAGCAAGCAGATAGAGCCGCCTTGCTTGGTTCGGAGGAAGAGCGTGGATTTGTGGCCCTCTGAGCACGTTGTCGGAGACACTTCGAAGCTTCTTCTTCTTCCTCATTTTCATGGTACTAGTCTCGGAGGAGCTCCTGTGACTGTGAGTACATTTTGCGAGCACGAATACTGTTTGAATTTTGGCGCCAGAGAATACAGGAAAGGAAAGGAAGCACATGAGCCGCTTCCTTTAGCTGCTTCTCGTTGACACGTGCACAGACTTTGCTCCTGTGCATTCACTAAAACGGCTCACAAAATTTAGAGAGCATTTTTACTCCTTCCTTTTTCTTTTTTTTCTTTTTTTAATACAAATGATATTTTATTTTAAATTAATCTAAATTACGGATAGGGGACTCAAAATCAGTTGTGGAGTGGGAGCACATCTGTTCTAACCAGCTTGGTTACCCCATGTATGCTTTTTACTTGTTTCTTTATTCGTGCTAAAATTTGCACTTATATTCGTTTTTTTTCAAAAAAATTTACGAAATTCTTGTTATGCACACCAAGATTAATGAATATTTGAAAAAAATTTAGCTGTGAGGCTAAGATCATAGAACAAAATATCAATAATATCGCCGATATTTCGGCGAAATTATCATTTTTTTGGGTAGTGATATTTTAGCATGGGGTAAAATGTCGAATGGCCCTTTGAATTTGTACATAACTATCAATTTACCTCATGACCTTTTTTTTTTAGTGAATTAAGGGCTCGAATTTAATTTTATTATCAATGTTCCCCCTACCGTCATAATTCCCACATTTCATCCGTTAATCCGTCCATTTGACTCACGTTGACTCTTTTTTGAGGGTTATTTTGGTCATTCAGTGTGAATTTAATTACCTAGTTTATTATCAAGGGCTCGAATTTAATTTTATTATCAATGTTCCCCCTACCGTCATAATTCCCACATTTCATCCGTTAATCCGTCCATTTGACTCACGTTGACTCTCTTTTGAGGGTTATTTTGGTCATTCAGTGTGAATTTAATTACCTAGTTCTCACACTTCACACACTTCTGACATCGCACCAGTAATCAAACATTTCTCTCTCCCTCTCCCTTCCTCTCTCACAAATCATGAAGAAGAATGACAACAATCAAGTCGTCACAGAGCAATCTCACAAACCCAGAAGACCCAAATCCAGCGAAGTAAGCTCGCGGTTTATGTCATTACCAACTTCAGCCACTTTGCTCGAAACCACCACCAAACTCCCATCTCCAAACCAAGCCATCTCGCCAGTCTAGCGCAAATTCGGTTCACCTTTCAACGAAACCCGAAAACCCGAAACCCAGCTCGATCACTTGGCCTCATCTGAGGACTATGGCCCTCTTCAACTTCATCATCAAACAAGAAGCTCGACACTCTAGCCGATCACCTTGGAAACGACAGGCTCAAAGATCATATCGAGCGTAAAAATTCAAACCTTAATAGGCAGAGAAGATGCAGAGAAGTGGGTTTGTTTGAGAATGAAAAAAAAGGAAAGAGAGAAAGCGCCAAGGAAAATCACAAACCCATCATTACTGGGTCGATTAGATACCAAAAAGACTTCAAATTTTTGGGAAAATCTACTTCCCCTTCTTCTTCGTCGTCTTCGATTAAGTTTTCTAGTAATTCGAACGTGGTTGTTCCTAGGAGATTTTCAGTGGACGAAAATGCTCTGTATCAGAAACCGTCTCGGCAAATTTCGGATGGTTTTTCAAATACTCTTTATTCGGGATCGGAGTGCAGCAATGGTTGTTCAGGCCAAACTGTTGGGTCTCCAAATGAGGGTTCGAGTTCGAGAAAATTGGGCATGGGGGTTTCTTCAAAGTACATGAATGAGGTACCTTTAAGGCATCGAAGAGGGACATCGGATTCTAATCTCCCAAATCCGTTATCAGGAGATATGTCTCCAAAGTTGAACAAATTCACCATTAAAAATGTGTTCAAGAGAGCTCAATGGGGAACATTGATAATAAAATTTAATTCGAGCCCTTAATTTTCTTACAAATGGTCAACATATCGCGATATTATCAATAAATATCGATAATATCAAACTTTCAAAAATGAAAGAATTCACCTGAACTCAACACACAGGGGTTTGAACCCCTCCCCCTTCCAAGCTTTGGAGCCACCTAACCACCACGCTAGTGGTCTCTTTGTAATTAGTACCTATGGAATTCATATTTATAAGTCTTCCGAGATGTTCCTCAAAATAGAAATAATTACTTATTGTTCTATATTGTTGATCAAATATTTAATTACTTAATATAATTTATTTCTTTCATATTTAATCCATTTAATGTTATTGATTATTTTATTATTCAATATAAGTATTTACATTACTAAATTCCCCTTCAAATTGTTGCTTAATTACTTAAATCTCTATAATCATTTTCTTTATTTCCTATTTAATTCTTCCTTGGATAACTTTATTTATGTTCTTAGTTAATTTTCAATCTTCACTATTAATTTTTAAGTATGGTAAAGTGCCTAATTTTCATGACAAATCAAGTTGGTTTACATCTTTAATTAGTTTTTAGTTTTTGATAAATAATAAATAAAAGAATGTGTGTCATGTCCAGTGAATAATGTGAAATAAGGTTACTCATGTATCTTACCATGCAATTTATAAAGTGTAAAATATTATAGTAAAAATGATAAATAAATTACTAGAGGGTGTTTAATTTTCTTTCATTAAGTACTCCAGATTTTCTAAGTCACAGAGTTTGTCAGCTCGCAATATAATCAACTTAAATCACTCAAACCCACTATGCAATGCATTTCCTTCCAATCTTTTTGTGTCAAAATAATAGATGATTGACTAAATAAATTTTTTATAAAGTTTCATTAAAAATTTCCATGTATTTATCACAATTTCCGTGGTTTTTATCGATATCGATATTTTCCTGATATTTCCATCAATATTTCCGTGTTTTTGAACTACCGATATTTCTGAAATCCTTGATATTTAAGACCTTGGCTAAGATAGCATCTCAAAGATAGGATGGGGCCAATAATGGCATAGGTCAAGATTCCCATGAATATGACGTCTGAGTCATCTTTTTTTCACTACACAACTTATCACATGATGTCTAAGTCATCATCTCTCGGTGCATAGCTTATCACAATTGATATTAAAACTGATCGTAGTTGATCTCAAAACCAATTTCAAATAGATATATGGGCAAAATTTCAAAGATTCCATCACTATACTACAAAAAAGAGTGGCAACAGTTACCATTATTTGGTGACATTTGGTGACTGTTGTGGGGGTTACTTAAGGCTTTAGTCACTAAATAAAGCAAAAAAAATAACTAAAAGCCTTTTTAGTCACCAAAAAAGTCAAAAAATGTGACTAATGCCTTTTGTTATGGCCACAAATGTAACCAAATAATGGTGACTGTTGCCACTTTTTTTACTAGTATATTGGTATGAACGAAGTTTGGAGTTTTGATAAACTTGAATATTCAATTAATTTTTTAAATTAAACCCCACTTTTACTTCAAAAGTTTTACATTGGAAGGATTTGACTAGCCTCATTTTCTCTCTCCTATCTAGCCACACTTAACTAGCCACTGTTCACAAAACTAAATTGACTAATGTATGCTTCATTAACTTTTTTTTTGCTACAGGACATGGGTTTTAATAATTTAAGTTTTTTATTATGATTTGAATTTGAATATTTATAATCAATTTATAATATATTTACATTTTTTTTTCTTCAATTTAAACAGAATTTTAACGGAAATGACCATATTTGTTAACATACATAAACACATAGACTAAATTAGCAAAAATTAATAACACGAGGACTAAATTAGCTTATTTAGAAAAGCACCAAAATTATTTTGCCATTTAAGCAAATTTATTTATTTATTTTAATTTTGAATTGGTAGGTAACATAAATAAAATATAGATATAAAAAATGTTTCAAAAAAAAAAAAAAAGATAGTGAAACAAATGAATTTTTTTTTATACGAAGGAAATGAATTTGCTTTGAACTTTGTCAAATAGATTTGACTTTGACTCAAAAGAGGGAGGAAAAAAAAAACAATATCCGAAAAATATTGAAAAGGAGAGAAGAGAGAGGTGGTCGTGAAGATTTAAAAGCAACTTTTCCAGTTGCTTGGGTTTATAGCAACGCAAACAATTATATCACTTGGGTTTCCTATTCAACTAAGGATTCACACACTCTCTCTTACATTCATTTGGGTTTTCTTCTATATCTCATTCAAATTCAACAATATGCGTTTCTCTAGTACCACCAAAGCGTGGGTTGAGAGCATTCTCTCAGATCAGCCGTGCAATCCATTGATAACGGGCTCGAAGAAGAAACTTGAAGGTGGTGATTCCAAGAAAAATGGTCGTGGTAATTGTGGTGGTAAACTGGGCTTGAAGAAGAAACTTGAAGGTGGTGATTTCAAGAAAAATGGTTGTGGTGGCTGTGGTGGTAAATTGGGCTTGAAGAAGAAACTTGAAGGTGGTTTGATGAAGAAAGTGGACGGTGGCTTGGGTTTCAAGAAAAACAGAGTTGATAACGGGCTGGGTTTGGAAAAGAAATTTCAAGGTGGTTTGGGTTTGAACAAGGGAGTTGAAGGTGTTGATCATGGCCTTCTCTGTACGCCATCAACTTCTTCTTGTGAGGTTACTTCATCCCAAGGTTGCAGTAGTTTCATGAGTGGCTGTGAAACACCAGTCACAGTTCTACGCCCTCATCTCTGTCGTGCATCTCCTGTCAAAGCCGCCTCTAAATCTGATCACGAGATGAATAATGATCTGTCTCCGAGAAGGGCGGCTAGGGTTGCAATGTTGAAGGCTCGGTTTGCCAACACAATCCTTAAAGCAGAACATCACCATGCTCTCTACACTAGATAGAGAAGCTGCTCGGCTTGCCCTCGAAGAGATGGAGAAACATGTGGTTATTGAAGATAACTTCAAAACCATGAGAGACTTTCATATGTTAATTTCTGGGGCCAAAATGATCGATTTTGGTCGGTTACTGTTAGGTGAAATTGTGTATAGTGATCACTGATTTGGTAGTGATCAATATTTCAGGAATTTTTATGAAAGGTAAGTACCATTCATTCATTCATTCCTTATTAGCCTGTTAAAAATTAATGAAGTGTTGTGATCAGCTCATATTCTGCGCCTAAGTCTTTGACAATGAAAGTAAATCAAGGCAAAATATTAAATGCATTTACGTTTAACAAAAGGGTATTTTGATTCTATAACGTCTCTTCAGTTCTAAGCACTTTATGCAGTTAATGATCAAAATGGGAGGTGTCTCACTCAGTGCACCTCTGTTACTGTTAATGAAATGAGAAATGGAGATTCAATAAAGAAAATTAAATGATTCTTTTAGCCGCCCTCTGTTACTGTTAATGTTTAAAAGAGAAGGTCTATTTCTTTTAACAATCTCTTGTCCCCAAAATTTAATCCTCCAGAATCCCTGTCTAAACAAGACTCGGATAACATCAAGTGAATGAGATACTCACAAACTTCTCCCATGTCGTCCAGGATGGCGACCGCCTTTTTTTTATTTATGCTCTTTTGCACTTTCATCTTGACTGTTGTCAGTGTACTTCTGTTTTCTGCAGGCCTGCAATGTGTAAAATAACTGCATTATCCCTCTTTTTAATATGCTGCCTGGAATGACCAAGGCTAAAATTTAAGGAAAGTCCATCAGCCAGTGTTTCATTCTAAAACAAACTGGACAGAAGTATAATGACCCATTTTCATGTTTGAAGTATTAAAAGAGGAAACCACATTTTAGTTCCTTAAAGGACGTGAACAAAATCAACATAACAGAAAAGTGCATGGCATAGAAATTTGCACCACCTTTAAGTACTCAGATATCAATAGAGCTCGAAATAAAAGTACAATCTCTGTTCTCAAATTATTTTCTGCAAGGTTTTGAATGATGCCAGATATGCAAGAATCATCAAACACCGATCTCATCCACTCAAGAACCTTCGGCAACTTTAACAATGTAACTGCTACATGAATTGCAGGCTTGTGAAGATTAATGAAGTTTTTTGATGCTAGGAATGGGACTGCTAATGACATTGCCAGCTCTTCCACAATCATCCTACTCCAGTTATTCTTTGTAGTCACACTTGTCCCTTGCATTCCCGGCAATCCCCAACCCAAGATCATTGATAGGCAGAAGTTGTGTCAATAAGAACCCCAAAAGTGTTGATCGATGATTATCTCCTCCTGCTATTAATTCTGCAATTGAATTAACATTTATCATATGACTGTTCTTTCCCTAAACCCTAGACCATAAAGATAAACCAGCCTCATCACTGTAGATAGATCAGTGGTTCCACCTTGGAGATCACTACTGTTGATCAGAATATATTGCTCTAGAGAAGCTAAAACCAACTTATCAACTGCAAGTCTGGGAAGCAAAGTATTAAAAGAAAAGTAGGTCGTAATTGTTAAATGCACTGGAAAAAACAAAGCAAAACAAATGAAACTAGAAATCAAAATCTCAATTACCTTTCATCATATAAAGAACAGGTGAATAAAATCAGCAAAATGGCAGATTGGCAAGAAGATAATTCCAGATTACAGGAGTTCTTTTGCCCAAGTAGAAAGAGCAAATCAATGGGATCAGATTGGAGACATAAAGTAGCATCTCTAATAGGTTGCCCAGAATCATTTCCCATAAGAACATCTACCAGTGAATTAAGCATCAGATACACCCTCCATTTCATCTTTTCTATGGGAAATAAGCCTAGGCATCCAAACGACAAACCGAACCAGTTGCTCGAAACTAGGTTCTCTGAAAAATCTGCTGCTTGATTGTTGGAATCCTGAAGCAGTATCAAATGAAATGTTTCCAATATTCCAAGGACAGTTTCCTCATCCATTTCACTGAAGTTGGTTCCAAACCAAGGTAACAAATGTTTTGTACAGAATTCACAATAAATTGTCGTAGTTCCACTTCAGTGGAGTCAGTAGAATTTCCTTCATGATTATAGGCCTCCTTAAGTAGGAACAAGGAATGCAAAAGTTGACAAGGATTCTTCTCCGAGATACTTAGACAAGCTAATACAGCATGTTGCATTGCTTCTTTAATTGAAATTTGTAGATTCAAATTCCCATGAACAGATGGAGTTCTGACGATAGCTACAAGGACTGAGCAGGTCAATATAAATGTCTCCTCAAGCATGCCTATCTCCCCATCAGAATGCTTTTTAAGTATCTTAGCTAGAACAGGTACTAGCTCTGTTACATGAGAAGAGGATAGCATTCCAGGGAAATCAGATATGCAGTTCAGAATGAGTTTTAATGTCTGATTTTCAACTGGATGGAAAGGAATGTCAGCTACATAATTTAGTACTGGAACCAAAGTTGCAAACCCAACAACAGGCCTCCATTTGAAAGCTTGGTCAGCTTTTGATAATAAGTCAAGTACCTGAACACAAGATTTGACCACTGGATCCTTGCATTCTGTTCATCAACAAAGCTTATTAGCTGTTTTTATTTGTTTGTTTTAAGAAAAAAAGAAGCTCAACAAAGCTTATTACTGAAACTAGTTTGTCACAAAAAACACATCGACGAACTAAGGCTTGGGTTCATGAAGTTGGACTTTCCAAGGGTTTGACTAAATCATAGTCATAGATAAGCTTTGCAAGAACACATCTAATGACCAAAAAAAGAAGAAGCTTAAGCTATCCACACTAGGAACACTGCAAAATTTATAGAAATTCAATAAATACTTCTAAATAATGATGATTGTTGACTCCTTACTTAAACAGCACAGTTTCTGGTTTCCTGATGTTTGGCAATACTCAAATGCAACTCTATCAGCACAAAAAATATCAAGCAGAGGACGGCTGTTATTGTTCTATTTGGCACTGAAACTTTACTAACCTGACAATCTTAGTATTTCAAATACATATTCTGCAATGTTCTCTTCCACTAGGAATTGGGTTTCTTTGCCTGAAGTGCCTTCCCAGGAGGACATGGCTGTCCCTTGAAAACAGTGGGCCTTTGATGGCCTCCGTAAACAATATATTCATTGGATTCCCATCTTTAACATCTTCTGTTGCTTGCTCAAAGCTATCTCCTTTGGATGAACTCATGGTGTTTAAATCAACTGTATATGCAGCCCTGAAAAGTCCTCCCTAGCCAACACTGTAAAGAATGCTGGACAAGTAATATGGAAATTGTTAGTTGAGAGAAGACAGGACTGATACCAATGAGGAAATGTGCATGTAAAATGGGGAGCATTCCATGCTATGTCAGGATCACTTCCCCAAAGAGTTATTTATTAACTGAAAGGTTTAAAATTATAATTGTTTCCGCTACAGGCAGTAAGTTCTATAGTCAAAGACTCAAGCACTTGGAACTGCAATTTTTTTATCGTTTGATTCTAAATAAACTCAAGATGCGAAGTATCTTGTCATGATATGAACAAATTGATGGAACTCGTTAATGGCATTGTTCTACAATCATTCGAACTAACTGATCCAACTATTGATGAGAGATATTGCAAGGACCTTCACCTTCACAGTTAAAATATGTTCTGACATCAACAAGAAACAATTGTTGTGAAATTAGGGAGTTCGTTTGCAGGCTTGATGTGTATATATGCCTATGTGCCCAAAAGGAAAACCTACTCTGAAAAATTAAATAAATAAAAACACATGGGGTATAACAAGCTGACCAAAATGCGAGTCATATCTTATTGAGCTGTTCTTTAAATAAGGGAAAATGGACCACACTTATAAGGCACAAAAAAGAAAGTATTAAAGAAGTGGAAAACTGACCTACATAATTCAAGCGGACATCATCGCTTTGGGTCTTCATGAGCGCCTCTAGAGACAAGTGCAATAGCTTGGGGCAAAAGGCAAATAAAAAATCAGTTTCATCACCAACCTCTGATGCGTATTGGAGAACAGATACCTGGTATAGAACAAACAGGATTTCTCCCGAATATCTTCACTGTGTTTAAGGAATATATAAAATAGAGGATTTGAGTTATAATGTACTAAATGCATGGAAGGAACATGTTTTATTCTCAGTTTTCTTTATTTGTTACCTTGGCAATTCAAGACCTTCAACAAGATTGGTAATGAGGCCATACTTGTCTCTAATGTGAGCGAAAGGATTATTCTGCTGGCAGTTTAACAAAACCCCCAAGCAGTGAAGCTAAATTTAAAGAACGGCAGAATTGTTAGCAGGGATATATATCTTTTGAGATCAATTAGATGTAAGTCTTAAAGATATTGTTGAAAATAGTTTCGTTAGTAGAAGCCAGTGGGTGCACAGAGGCTTATCATTGTTGAGATTTCATTGTAGACTCTAAACCATTGCCATTAAACTTGGATATGAAAGTCATGGCTTAAAGTAAGGAATCTGATGTTCATAAAATAAAAAGAGTAAGAAATCTGATGACCCCCATGTAGTGACTGTTGACTCAGATTTCTCACTCTCACGGCCTAGCTTGCCCACTCAAATTTCATTTTGACTTGTAGAGTAGAGAAATCTAAATTCAAAGAAACATGACAAACTATTCAAGGATCTCAACCAACAGTAACCCATCCTATTTTGCATTATAATATAAGTAAGGCAATTTCCGGTTTTATTTAACAATCCTTCAACTATAGTATTGTTGTACCATGAGAAACCAAACTATCAGAATAACATTACCTTCGGAAAAAAAAAAAAATCAGAATAACATTACCCAAAGTATGTATCCAAATCTTAAAATTGATATGTGAATTCGCAAACAAACAGAATTTTAATATGAGAAACAGTAGAAGAATCAAGCTCGATTTCACCAAATTCGTCCAACCGTAACAAGTCATACACTGTTTGGCAACCGAGAAACACAAATCATTTTCTCAGGAAGCAAACAGAAAACAAATCACAACCGGAAAAGTTTATCTATGTCTCAACAGCAATTCCAGAATTCACAGACAAACAAAGAGAGAATGGAGAGATGCGGATGGTGGAAATACCGTATAAAGCTGACGGCGACTCCAGGCCAAGGCACCAGAAGAGAGGCGGAAAGGGAAGGAAACCCTAGCAACGAAGTCAGCAGAAAGCGAGGCAACGGCTGAATCGCAGAGAGCGGAAATGAGATGGACGACTTGTCGTGCGATGGGGTCGTCGTCGAAGGAAGAGAGAGCATGAACGAGAGGAGCGACGAGGAAGTGAGGGTGGAAGGCGAGGAGAGAGCGGAGGAAGGGGGGGTCGGAGACTCGGAGGAGATGGCCTGAGGGAGCTGAGAGAGGGCGTAGGAGGAGAAGCAGAGCAAGCAGATGGAGCCGCCTTGCTTGGTTCGGAGGAAGAGCGTGGATCTGTGGCCCTCTGAGCAAGTTGTTGGAGGAGACACTACGGAATTCGAAGCTTCTTCTTCTTCATTTTCATGGTAGTCTCGGAGGAGCTCCTGTGACTGTGAGTACATTTTGCGAGCACGAATAGTGTTTGAATTTTGGCGCCAGAGAATACAGGAAAGGAAAGGAAGCCGATGACGGAGCCGCTTCCTTTAGCTGCCTCTTGTTGACACGTGCACAGACTTTGCTCCTGTGCATTCACTAAACGGTTCACAAAAATTAGAGAGCATTTTCACTGCTTTCTCTTTTTATTAATTTAATACAAATGATATTCTATTTTAAATTAATCTAAATTACGGAAAGGGAATTCAAACTCGGTTGTAGAGTCGGGATTACATCCGCTCTAACCAATTGATTAATCCATATTTATTTTTTACTCCTTCCTTTATTCGTGCTAAAATTTACACTTTTATTCCTTTTTTTATATATAAATTTTACGAAATTCTTGTTATACACACAAAGGGAAATGAATATTTTAAAAAATTTAGCAGTGAGGCTAAGATAGCATCTAAAAGATGGGTGGGGCCAATAATTGCATAGGTCAAGACTCCAACAAATATGATGTCTAAGTCATCATCTCTCGATACACAACTTATCACAACTGATATCAAAACTGATCGTGTTTGATCTCAAAACCAAAGTTTGGAGTTTAGAAAAACTTGAATATTCAATTAATTTTTTTCTAAATTAAAACCCACTTTTACTTCAAAAGTTGTACATTGGAACGATTTGACTAGCCTCATTTTCTCTCTCTTATCTAGCCACACTTAGCTAGCCACTGTTCACAAAACTAAATTGACTAATGCATGCTTCATTAACTCTTTTTTGCTACAGGACGCAAGAACATGGGTTTTAATAATTTAAGTTTTTATTATTATTTGAATATGAATATTTATAATAAATTTATTTATTTTTTCTTCAGTTTAAACTGAATTTTGTCGGAAATGACCATATTTGTTAACATATATAAACACATAGAACAAATTAGCTAAATTAATAACACGAGGACTAAAATTAGCTTATTAGGAAAAACACCAAGACTATTTTTCCATTTAAGCAAATTAAAAAAAATGTTTTTTTTATTATTTTGAATTGGTAGGTAACATAAATAAAATATAGATATAAAATTATGTTTCAAAAAAAAAAAAAATAGATAGTGAAACAAATGAATTTTTTTTATACGATGCAAATGAATTTACTTTGAACTTTGTCAAAAAGATTTGACTTTGACTCAAAAGAGGAAGAAAAGAAAATATCCGAAAAATATTGAAAAGGAGAGAAGACAGAGGCGGTAGTGAAGATTTAAAAGCTACTTTTCCAGTTGCTTGGGTATATAGCAACGCAAACAATTATAGTTCATTTGGGTTTCCTAATCAAATAAGGATTCATTCTCTCTCTCTCTCTCGTAAGGATTGATTTGAGCTTTTATTCCTCATTAACTCGTTTCACTTCCCTTGATTTCACACGGTAGGTTAGGGTTTCTATATTTCTCAGTCTCTTCTATCTCCCTTAATTCCTCACTTGCCCACTTTCTTCTATCTCATTCAAATTCAACAACATGCTTTTCCCTGCTCCTCCTCCTCCTCGTCCGACTGAGAAGCGTGCCCGCTGCTCCTCCTCGTCCGACTTCGATTCCGAAATTCAAACGTGGTTTATGGGTCAAGAAAGAAAGAGGGAAAAAAGGCAAAGGACCGTAGCTAAGACTGACGATATTGATGTAGATGGTGATTTCAAGAAAAATGGTCGTGGTGGTTATGGTGGTAAATTAGGCTTGAAGAAGAAACTTGAAGGTGGTTTAATGAAGAAAGTGGACGGTGGCTTGGGTTCCAAGAAAAACAAAGTTGATAACGGGCTGGGTTTGGAAAAGAAATTTCAAGGTGGTTTGGGTTTGAACAAGGGAGTTGAAGTGGTTGATCATGGCCTTCTCTATACGCCATCAACTTCTTCTTCTGAGGTTTCTTCAACCAAAGGTTGCAGTAGTTTCATGAGTGGCTGTGAAACACCAGTCACAGTTCTACGCCCTCATCTCTGTCGTGCATCTCCTGTCAAAGCCGCCTCTAAATCTGATCACGAGATGAATAATGATCTGTCTCCAAGAAGGGCTGCTAGGGTTGCAATGTTGAAGGCTCGATTTGCCAACACAATCCTTAAAGCAGAACATCACCATGCTCTCTACACTACAACAATTACCACCGAAGCCAAGAACGAGAGGCTTGGAGCTGCAGAAGCAGAAATTATGAGAGCCAATGAGTTCATCAAAAAGCAGCGGCAGACGGATAGAGAAGCTGCTCGTCTTGCCCTCGAAGAGATGGAGAAACATGTGGTTATTGAAGATAACTTAAAAACCATGAGAGACTTTCATATGTTAATTTCCGGGGCCAAAATGATCGATTTTGGTCGGTTACTGTTAGGTGAAATTGTGTATAGTGATCACTGATTTGGTAGTGATCAATATTTCAGGAATTTTTATGAAAAGTAAGTACCATTCATTCATTCCTTATTAGCCTGTTAAAAATTAATGAAGTGTTGTGATCAGCTCATATTCTGCGCCTAAGTCTTTGACAATGAAAGTAAATCAAGGCAAAATATAAAATGCATTTACGTTTAACAAAAGGGTATTTTGATTCTATAATGTCTCTTCAGTTCTAAGCACTTTATGCAGTTAATGATCAAAATGGGAGGTGTCTCACTCAGTGCACCTCTGTTACTGTTAATGAAATGAGAAATGGAGATTCAATAAACAAAATTAAATGATTTTCTGAGCCGCCCTCTGTTACTGTTAATGTTTAAAAGAGGTGGTCTATTTCTTTTAACAATCTCTTATCCCCAAAATTTAATTCTCCAGATTCCCTGTCTAGACAAGACTCGGATAACATCAAGTGAATGAGATACTCACAAACTTCTTCCATGTCATTTTTTTTTTTTTTTTTTTTTTTTTATGCTCTTATGCACTTTCATCTTGACTGTTGTCAGTGTACTTCTGTTTTCTGCAGGCCTGCAATGTGTAAAATAACTGCGTTATCTCTCTTTTTAATATGCTGCCTGAAATGACCAAGGCTAAAATTTAAGGAAAGTCCTTCAGCCAGTGTTTCATTCTAAAACAAACTGGACAGAAGTATACTGACCCATTTTCATGTTTGAAGTATTAAAAAAGGAAACCTCATTTTAGTTCCTTAAAGGACACGAACAAAATCAACAGAACAGAAAAGTGCATGCATAGAAATTTGTTCAGCCTTTAAGTACTCGGACTTCAATAGAGCTCGAAATAAAAGCACAATCTCTGTGCTCAAATCATTTTCTGCAAGGTTTTGACTGATGCCAGATATGCAAGAATCATCAAACACCGATCTCATCCACTCAAGAACCTTCGGCAGCTTTAACAATGTAACTGCTACATGAATTACAGGCTTGTGAAGATTAATGAAATTTTTTGATGCTAGGCATGGGATTGCTAAAGACATCGCCAGCTATTCCACAATCATCCTACTCCAATTATTCTTTGTAGTCACACTTGTCCCCTGCATTCCTGGCAATCCCCAACCCAACATCATTGATAGGCAGAGGCCACAATTCATAGCCATTGAGGTCACTGTAGAAAATTAAGCCTTCTAGGACAGCCATTACAGACATTAGGTAGTCCATGGTGCATACCAACTGCTCCCCTGTTCTATTCCTCTGATCAGATATTCAGGTAAACAACTCCAACAGGCAGTATTAAGCAACAAGTTTAACCAAAGGTGATCCAAAATGTACTAGTCTGCATAGGTCATGGCAGAATATCCGGAAAAAGGAAATCGGCTGTACCCTATCTGGGGGATCAAAGAAATTTTTCCAGTCCACAATCCCTGGTAAAACAGTGTGCAAACTGGAGGAAATGGAGGAAAGAAAAAAAAAACAGTTAGTTTCAAAAGCAAAATTCAGTTGTACGGCTAAATTTAATACGAGGAACTAACCTTCTTAAAGAGAAGAAATACGAGGAACTAACCTTCTTAAGGAGAAGAAGTTCTGTAGAAGCACAAATATTAAACTTCTCCAGAGCTTGTTTCCTCATCGTGGTCAACCAATGCTGGTCCTTTTAGACATGCTTCATGAATTGCGCTGTTGATTGTAGAGACTAGAGAAGTGCTGAAAATAATGGCTTTCGAAGGTGCTATGAGCACTTCATTGGAAGAATGATGCAAAATTAAACAAAGAATGCCAATTACTAAGAGACATTCTTGATTCCACCCGTCTGCAGCTCTTGTGGTGATAATATTTATTAACTACAAAAGAAGACACTGTCTCATTAAATTCCTGGGGCAGCAAGAAAACTGGAATCGCCAAAATTAAGTCACCTTCATAGTCACTGCAAGCCAACATTCATCATCAGAAAGAGTTTCATGGTGCACTGAGCATAAAATTTTGAAAATTAAAACTAAATTGGGTGTGGATATCTGTGGGGACTGTGTATAAGTTGATTCGCAGAAAAGATTCCGGAGAGCACTCCCAATACCATGCAAGCATAACTGGTTGGAAGCAATTGGAAATATATCGATAATAGTTGCCACTAGATTCACTACAGAAATAATGTCATTCTCATGTCCTTCTTTCTCGAGAAGTTGTGTCAATAATGGCACTAAAAGTGTTGATCCATGATTATCTCCTCCTGCTATTAATTCTGCAATTAAATTAACATTTACCATATGACTGTTCTTTCCATGGACAATGATGCCATTTGCTATATTCTTTCCACTAAATTTCAGAAGCTGATATGACAGTGGTGTGCTGAGCTTCTCTTGTTGAAACAACCACTTCAATGATATTGGATTAATTCTTGCAGAATGCAAATCCCATTCGTTTTCACTTAATATCTTGAACAGGATTCTCTCAGCTTCTGGACTGTAGGGGATTTGGTAGCTAACCTTGGCGAGACCCCTATAAAGACCATAAAGATAAACCAGCCTCATTACTGTAAATGGATCAGTGGATCCCACCTTGGAGATCAGTACTGTTTTACCAGAATATATTGCTCTAGAGAAGCTAAAACTAACTTATCATCTGCAAGTCTGGGGAGAAAAATAGTAAAGATGTGAAGAAAAGTAGGTTGTAATTGTTAAATGTACTGTAAAAAACATAGCCAAACGAATCTAGAAAACAAAAGCTCAATTACCGTTCATCATATAAAGAACTTGTGTATGAAATCAGCGAAATGGCAGATTGGCAAGAAGATAATTCTAAATTACAGGAGTTCTTTTGCTCAAGTAGAATGAGAAAATCAATGGGGTCAGATGGGAGACATAGAGTAGCATCTAATAGGTTGCTCAGAATCATTTCCCATAAGAACACCTACTAGTGAACCGAGCATCTGATACACACTCCATTTCATCTTTTCTGTGGGAAAGAAGCCTAGGCATCCAAACGACAAACTGAACCACCTTTGGATGAACCATTACTGTTTAAATCAACTGCATATGCAGCCCCGAAAAGTCCTCTCTGAGCCAACATTGTCAAGAACGCTGGACAAGTGATATGGAAATTGTTAGTTGAGAGAAGACAGGACTGATACCAATGAGGAAATGTGTTTGTAAAATGGGGAGGATTCCATGCTGTGTCAGGATCACTTCCCCCAAAGAGTTATATATTACCTGAGAGGTTTAAAATTATAATTGTTTCCTCAACAGGTGTCAGGATCAATTCCATGCTAGTCATATATTGCTGAGCTGTGCTATAGGGAAAATGGACCCAACTTACAAGGCACAACAATAAAGATTTCAAGAAGTGGAATACTGACCTACACAATTCAAGCGAACATCATCGCTTTGGGTCTTCATGAGGGCCTCTAGAGACAAGCACAATAGCTTGGGGCAAAAGGCAAATAAAAATTCAATTCCAACACCAACCTCTCATGCATATTGGAGAACAGATACCTTATATAGAACAAACAGGATTTCTCCCTGAATCTCTTACCTGTGTTAAATGAATAAAATAGAGGATTTTAGTTATAGTGTGGTAAATGCATGGAAAAAGGAACATCAGTTTTCTTTATTTGTTACCTTGGTAATTGAAGACCTTCAACAAGATTGGTAATGAGGCCATATTTGTCTCTAATGTGAGCGTAAGGATTATTCTGCTAGCAGTTTAACAAAACCCCTAAGCAGTGAAGCTGCAGTTAAAGAATGGCAGAATTGTTAGCAGGGATATATATGTTTTGATATCAATAACATGCAAGTCTTAAAGATCTTGTTGAAAAATGTTTCGTTAGTAGAAGCCAGTGGGTGCACAGATGCTTATCATTCTTGAGACTTCATTGTAGACTCTAAACCATAGCCATTAAACTTGGATATGAAAGTCATGGCTTAAAGTCAGAAATCTGATGTTCATAAAAAAAAAAAATTAAAAATTAAAAATTAAAAAAACGTAAGAAATCTGATCACCCCCATGTAGTGACTGTTGACTCGGATTTCTCACCTTCAAGGCCTAGCTTGCCCACTCAAATTTCATTTTCACTGGTAGAGTAGAGCAATCTAATGTCAAAGAAACTATTAGATTCATCCACCGAATTTCTAACCCCTAACCAATCATATGCTGTTTGATTACTGAAAAATTACAGAATTCATAATTTTCCTTCATAATCTCAGGAAACAAACAGAAAATAAACATTACCCTAAGTATGTATCTAAATCTCAAAATTGATATTTAAATTTGCAAACAAGCAGAGTTTTAATATGAGAAACAGTAGAAGAATCAAGCTCAATTTCTCAACATTCGTCCTACCGTACCCAGTCATACACAGTTTAGCTTCCGAGAAACACTAATTATTTTCTCAGGAAGCAAACAGAAAACAAATCACAACCGGAAAATTTTAAGTCTCAACAGCAATTCCAGAATTCAGACAACAAAGAGAGAATGGTGGAAATACCGTATAAAGATGACGGCGACTCCAGGCCAAGGCACCAGAAGAGAGGCGGTCGGAAACCCTAGCGACGAAGTCAGCAGAGAGCGAGGCAGCGGCTGAATCGCAGAGAGCGGAAATGAGATGGACGACTTGTCGTGCGTTGGGGTCGTCGTCGAAGGAAGAGAGAGCATGGACGAGAAGCGAGACGAGGAAGTGAGGATGGAAGGCGAGGAGAGAGCGGAGGAAGGGGAGGAGATGGCCTGAGAGAGCTGAGAGAGGGCGTAGGACACGTGAACGGTGGGAGATGAGGTTGGGGAAGCAGATGCAGCCGCCTTGCTTGATTCGGAGGAAGAGCGTGTATGGCTCTGTGAGCACGTTGTCGGAGACAATTCGAAGCTTCTTCTTCTTCATTTTCATGGTAGTCTCGGAGGAGCTCCTGTGACTGTGAGTACATTTTGCGAGCACGAATAGTGTTTGAATTTTGGCGCCACAGAATACAAGAAAGCAAAGGAAGCAGATGAAAGAGCCGCTTCCTTTAGCTGCTTCTTGTTGACACGTGCACAGACTTTGCTTCTGTGCATTCACTCAAACGGTTCACAAAATTTAGAGGGCATTTTTACTCCTTTCCTTTTTTTTTCAATACAAATGATATTCTATTTTAAACTAATCTAAATTACGGAAGGGGAATTGAAACTCGGTTGTAGTGTGGAAGCATATCTGGTCTAACCACCTTGATTAACCCATATCCGCTTTTTACTCCTTCCTTTATTTGTGCAAAAATTTGCACTTTATATTGGTTTTTTTCCAAAATATTTTACGAAAGATTTTACGAAATTCTTGTTATGCACACAAAGGGTAATGAATATTTGAAAAAAATTTAGCTGTGAGGCTAAGATAGCATCTCAAATATGGGATGGGGCCAATAATTGCATAAGTCAAGACTCCAACGAATATGACGGTCTAAGTCATCATCGATACACAACTTATCATAACTGATATCAAAGCTAATCATGGTTGATCTCAAAACCAATTTCAAATAGACATCCACAATATTTCAAAGACTCCATCACTATATTGGTATGAACAAACGTTGTTTGGTCTCAATTGACTAGTCCTCGGCCGGCCCGAATCAAGTTTTTCATCTTGTTCATTTGCTTTCTACTTAATTTTTTCAGCTAACTCAAGTCTTGTTTTCACTCCGCTAGATAAAGTGTGAAGTTCTTTGATTGTTGAAGACATAGAAAAATAAGTCATGCCAAGCTAATTCCCATTCTACCAGACTTTTCTAGTATGGTAGTGGCTCGCTCGGGCAACACATCACTTGGCCTATTTCTTGGGTGAGATTTGGGGAAAACACTCACCAACGTACCAATCATCACATGAGTCGTTGTTAGAAGAATATAATTTTTTATATTTATGTACCATGTAGATTAAATTACGCAAGCTTAACCAACGACAATTAATGTGATGATAAACACCAATTACACCAATTACATGTGTCATTATATTATTTGCTTAATAAAAATTGAGTCTTTTCAGTTTAAGAAGAAATGAGGTATATAGTAAGGGATCCATCATGAGCCTCTACATTTAGCATTCATGTATTTATACGTATTTAGAGAAATTTCAAACATTATCTAACGAATTGAATTATTCCACGTCATTATAATTACGTAAAATTAAAACTCTCCTATTGTACCTTATCACTTACCGGTTACTCATCTTATTTATTGTAGTTTCCCGGACTCCTAATGTCATGGACTTTGATAAGCAAAGCCCCTGAACGTTAATTCGAACATCTTTTGTGCAGAGACTAAAACTATAAATTGGGGTTGAAGTTGGATCATAGGAGAAATGGCGGCCATGAGCAATGCGTGTCTGCAAGTCCAGGGTATTGATTAACACTAAAATAAAAATAAATTTGATCTCATTAAAGATTTTTTTTTTTTTTTTTTCCAAATGATCTCATTAAAGATGGGCAAGGGGAAAATGATAGGGGTGAGTTTTTAATATAACATAATTTTGATGACGTGGACTAATTATACTTCATTAGATTAATCAAATGATTAAGATTGCTCTAAATGCGTTTCAATGTACATATGCTAAATGTAGAGGCTCGGGATCCTATAGTAAGGACCAATATTTATCGCAAGGCTAAGACTAGCCATATAACATCAGCCAAAAAATTCCTCACTATAGATATAGTTGAGAGTGCTGCATCTATTATTTAATCTCTTGTCTGTCAAACCCTAAACCCTAACTGAATCTTTATTTAAACGTCTATTTTCACCCGTTTGTCTGTCAAACACTTAATCTGCACGTAAGGAAATTTGCATGTGAATCTGCTGCAAGTTTGTGTTTAGGGTTTTGCATTTTCCATTCAAACATCTTATTTGTAAAGCATTGTAGTAGTCGGAAGTTTATCAGTGTTTCATTAGAAATGTTTGAGCCGTATCTTATGAAAGTTGAGGTATATGCTAGCATACAACACTGCATTTCATAGCTAGAAAAGTTGCCTACTTGGTTCTTCAAAGCCAACGGTAAAATAAGAATTGAAATTGCGGTGAAGTTGGAGAAATTCTATAGTTTGACCGTTAGATCGAAGAATTACTACATGCACGTTTACTCGAAAATTATTCGACTTTTCCTCTAATTTGGGTGATTTAAGAATTTATAGCAGATGTCGTTACTACATATTAATTCTTCTTATATATAAATCTTTTGGATGATGATGATTCTCAACAATTTATGTCGTGTGATGCAAGGGAAAACCCAAATTTAAGTGAAGTAATGTTTCTCCCCAATTCTAGTAATTAAGCAACCAAGAAAATAGAAATTAAATTTATCCAACATTTATGGTGATGATTTTGAAAATATTGCTATCATATTCTCTTACTGTTAAGAGAAGTTTTTGGAAAACTAAGAGCAGCCACTAGTGCTATTGAGGTTATATATTTAGGCAATCAATATTCCGTTGAGTTGTATTCTAACAAAAACTAGAATCAAGTGCATGCCTCATTAACTGGGAAGCTCTTATTGTCTGGTCAATCTCCAAAGATTCTCAATGTCAATTAATAATATGAAATGGGTACGTACATCAATATCTGATTGTAAAGAACCTTATAGCCAAGGAGTAGTCAATACACATACCTAGCTCTCTCTCCCTGTGAAAGAAAGACAAGGTTTGGAGTTATAGCCGCCACCCCCTTTGGGGGTGGGTGAGTTCCTCTTGCTCTCCCCCCTCCCTTCCCCCCTCCCCTGTTTCTTTCCCACTCTTCCCCTCTTCTCTCGCCCCCCTCTCCCTTCCTTCCCTTGCCTTTCGTCCACTCCTTCCCCCACTCCCTGAGTTCTCTTCCTCTCTCCCTTTTTCTTCTGCTCTGTCTTTGGGTTTTACAGGGTGTGCGTGGCTGGGTAAGGGTGGTTTTGTTGCTCTGTTGCTTGGCATCTCCGGTAGATCTATTCTGGATCTAGTTTATCCGGGCTTTGCTGTGGTGTTTCGGTGGCTTGGGTGCTTTTCCCCTGTGGCCGCCGCGGTCTATCGAGGTTCTCTCTCGGGCATTTGGTGTTCCCATTTTGCTGGTTCCGATGCTCTCTCTTAGGATGAGAGCGGGTGACGTCGTTCGAGCATTCACTGCTTGTATCGAAGGCTTCATGCCTCCTATCTGTTTAGATCCCTCACATCTCCACCATTCCATCTCTCACAGAGCTGTCCATTGGCCTTCGTCACTTCAGTTGCTGGGCTTCCCTTGGTGCGTTGGTGTTTACGATTCCGGCGAAGATGCGATTTCTTGGGTTGCTGATGACCAGAACCCAGATCCCCCCACTTCCCTTTCGAACCGACTTCATCACCCGGTTTCAACGGCAAACTCTAAACGCGAGCTCTCGCGTACCCCTCGGAAGGTGTGTCGAGCCGCGACTTTGCTCCGACTCTGGTGCCTGCACCACCTCCTTCCTGTTACTTGGTTACTTTCCCTGTGCCTTTGGTCTGCTTTGAGAGTTACTGGTTTTTGTGGTAGATTTGTGATTTGGGCGTGTATTTTCTGTATTTTTTCTTGTTTCAACTTGGTGTTGCTACCACATGCTGGGTGTGGGTTCTGTTTTACTGCTGGCTTTTTGCCAGCTTAATTTTGCTTCCGGCGGGATCATGATCTTCATACTATGCCTATGCCTGGGTTTTAGTTAGATCTGGTCCTGTTTTGGTGTTGTTGCGTTTGTCTTTTGCGGGTGCTCCTTGCTTGGCCCTTTGGTTGTGTTCCTTGCCCTTTTGTGGGTTTTCAATGAATTTGCCTTTCGACCAAAAAAAAAAGAGGTGACGGATACCCTATTACAACCTCTAGGAAAATAGTCACAAGGAAAGAAAAGAAACTGAGACAGTAGCTATATGCCTTCCATCATTAGCTACGTATGCATTCATCCTCAAATTTCAGATGTGGGCTCCACTATAATTGAATGGAACACCGAATCCAGTTCAAGCTTCAACTCACATGAAATTGCCAGAATCTCATTCTGGAAGTGCCGCCCAAAGGGTCATCGTCACAACCATCACTTAGCCTTTGTCATTCCCAACAGTAGCACCTCAAATCTGGTTTTGAATAACCATCTACATTGAGTTTTGGTCGAGCCACAGGAGGACATTTCAAACGAGCATGTTTGGGTCTTTGAGGCATCACCAAAAGTTCATTCACTCCTCGTATTCATCAAGCAAAGATAATGACATGTTAAAAGGAGATGACAACTCGGGGATCTCAATCCCATGCATCCCAAACTGTACCAGATAGCCCATGAAGCTGACCTCTTTCCAAGTACCCATCATTGTGCTCAGCAGAGAGAGCTTCAAAATGAAAGACAATTTCAGCCAAAAACACAAAGAAACCATGGTGGCTCCACAAAAATTCTACAACGAATAAGTTGACATCACATAGCAAAATGTTGAGCATGATAAGAGACCATATGCGCTTCCTTAACTTGGGTATGGTTTGAAATAAAGAACCGGATGCATCCCTACTGTCCCTCATGACCTTCATATCTTGAACTACCCTATATTCATTCCACATTGAGTGAATAATGCCAAACCAACTGGGAAGCTCCCAGTGCTGGAATTTTTGCATAAACTATACCATAAGATTCAAGAATTTATACTGCCTCCGACAAAATCCTCAACTTCTTACATAGCGACCTGCCATGAAGAAGAAAGCTGTAGGTTGACATAGAGCATAACTTGCAGCAGAGCTAATAAACATTGTCTGTAGCCTGATAAAGAAGTTGAGAAGAATATTTTGGTTAAAGTTCATAGGGGAAACTAGCAAATGTACATGCTCTGAGAATACTTCACTGTGTCAGTTTTATTATTAACAATCTAGGAATACAGATATTAAAATGAAATGTCAAATCAAAGACAATTGTCGTTTCAGATCGTTTTAAACTTAAACTCTATCTCTATGCGTACGAACAGGTGCTATCAAATTAATTGTAACTAAAATCTATAAAACATGGGGCAAATACAATCAATTATAGGAGAAAGATAATGAAGCTGAGACTCTACCTCATATTTAATCTGCAAGTTTTATTAATTTTTGCTTCAGACATCGGATTTGCAACCGCTAAACTTGAACTTCACAACAATTTTTTGTCCGGACAGCATACTGAGCTTGGGTTCTTCGCTATCATCTCTTTCAAGCTTTTCACTCGAGAAATCCTTGGTTAGATCAGAATTGCAATCATGCCTAACATCGATCATATTCTCAATTCCTTCACCCCCCTGCTCAAGAGGTGCGCTCGAAACACAGCACAATCTTTTAATTCTAAGGAGATCCTCTGATGTACAAGGCTTGGCTACAGATAAAATACTCGCCATCGACCGCTTCTTATGCTTACCCTTGTGTTGTTTTTTCATACGCCTCGGCTTCGTAGAAGAAGTCAATGTTTTATTACACTGAATAACATTAAGGTGTGAACTTGGTATTGTAGTTGAAGGTGTTGAAGGTTGATCTGTTGAAACCATAATGTTGGAAGCATCGTGGGGACTGAAGCCAGTCTTGTTTTCTTCATGCTTATGACTGCTATTTGAAGGAGATAAATGGCAACGTTGGATTGAAAGGGCCGATACTGCTTCCTCAGAGTCAGAGTATAATTTACACTCATCTTCAATCTCCTGCTCAATGGTATCTGGTTCTTTATCTTCGGAGTAATCAACATTCTCATCATCTTGTTGAGTACAATTCAAACCTACAGCTCCTCTGAGTGACTGGATGGCTGAATTATGGGATTCAAGGGGCGGCAACACATCACTAATACCGTAATTGAGACAAATTTGCAAGTATTTTTCTGGAAATGGCCAGTTAGAAAAGACATCTTTCTGACGACAAGCAAGAACATACTGTCTGCAAATAGAAATAGTTATAAATGAGAGGCTAGTTGATTTTTGGAGCAAAAAACTTTAAGTTGAATGTAGTGCAACTCATTCTTCAACATAAAATGAACATGCACGATACTATTGTACAAAAGGAAACAAAGGAAAAATTAAATACACGAAATCAGATATATACGAATGGAAATCAACATGAAACTCACTCACAGTACTGATAAATAAAAGAGCAAGACCTCATAAATTAGGGAAAACCGAAATTTGTTCATAACCTGGAAATTTAGTTTACTCCAAACTTGTTCTTCTGAAAACCCCCAAAACAGAAAGAACAAAAATTGCACGGTTCTATTAAAGAAACAGTATTCTGTATTTCAAATTAATGGAACAAAATTGAAAACAAAATACAGAAACATGCATTTCCACTCCAAAAAAAAAAAAAAAAAAAAAAAATCAAATATAGGTTATGAAATAGAATCTGAAAAACTAGATGAAGATATATAAAAAAGACAAGAAAAAACACTCTCTCTCCCAAATATATTATATATGCGAAGATCAATCACCTTATAGAGAAGGGTCTTTTATCTGGTTCCTCAAGATTGTTATTTGAAGTTGTTTGCTGATGCATAGATTGGGAAACCCCAGCTGGGTTTTTCTGCTGAGGCAGCATAGGGTAGACCGCAGAGATTAACCAATGGCTAAAAATGAAAAGGAAGACAAACCCAGTTGAAATTATGGGCACTGCATCAATATGGAACAAGAATGGAGAACAAAATTATGGGCAATCAATGAAAACCAAAAGCCCTTGACCCAGAGAAACGAGGGTTGGAGAACAGAAAGAAAGCCCGAGTTTCAGCTGGTGGGTTGACCAAAGGTTGAAAAGAACACAAGAACATCAGAAAATGAAAATGAAATTTCAACAGTCTGCAAGTTCTCAAAAGAATGAAATAAGAAAGAGAAATGTGTTAAGAGAAAGCGTTGCGAATTACAGAGGAAAAGAGAAGTGTGTTCAAGCTTAAAAGGGTTTGGGATGAAAAGGGTGTGTAGCTTAAAAAGAACGCAAGGAAGAAAAAAAAAAAGATATGTTTGTTTTTCAAAATCTGAAGAATTTTATAGATGGGAAGAGAAATTTGAATTACCTGTAGATTGTTTCTCGTGACTTTGAGAGAGAGAGAGAGAGAGAAGAAGAAGAAGAAGAAGAAGAAGAAGGAAATCGAAGAGGCACCTCTAGTTATTTTCCTTTCTATTTTTGTTTGGAGATTTGTTGTTTTCTTTCTTTCTCCTTCAAAAAAATAAATAAAAGAAAACAGAGAAAATCTGATATTTGGGTGTGAGGCTGAAGGGCGTGTAGTTTTTAGGTTATGGAGTTTGAGCGTTCTGTTTTGGAAGGCAGAATACATTTAAGCTTTGACCAAATTTAACAGTCAACTAAATTTGAGAAATCAAAAATGGGTGGCCTAACTGTCCCTGCGTTTATTGACCAAAATGAAAAAAAACAAAAACAAACTGTCCTGCCTTCACCTTGAGCTTCTCCCTCACAGAGGACATATCAAACACCTTTTATGGCTTGAGAAGCAGAGCCTTCATTTCTTCTGCAATAAAATTATCTCCTGTACATGATTATGGAAGTCCTTTTTCAGACTTGTCTTCTTGTTTTCCTGTGTTTAATTTGCTGTTGTGTTTTCTGGTGGCAGGTGGTTGTTTCCTCTTTCTCTTTGTAATATCTCTGTAGCCTGTTGCTTGCTTGCTCATCAGGCTTTGGCATTTGTTTTTAGATTTTATGTTTCTTTAGGTGAATCAATAAGTTTCCCTTCATCTGTGAAAAGATGGCTCGAACACAGCGTTTGATCTTCTCTCTGCTGAAGCGACTATCGCAGTTTTTATCTCTGAAATTCTTCTGACATATATGGTTCCTCCTTTGCAAATTTTGCAGTATCTGTGTCTGCATTTGGTAACTGATGATCTTATTTGGTCCTCTAGACTCAATTAACAGATATATACTTACGGTGAAGAAGCTGGAAGGAGAAGGCCATTTCAATACTATTGATACCCAACACATCAGGAAACAGTTATAGATACGAGAAAAACTCTAGTGTAAAAAACATAAAAGTTATACAAGCAGATTGCAAAACTTCTTCTGCCTTTTTCCAGTGGACATGGGAGGGCTTGAAGGCTTTGTTAGAGAAAGCTCGCGGTAGAGAACTCAAAAAACTGAGAATAATAATTGTTGTTAACCCCCGGGAGGGCGTGAAGGTTTTGATTGCCTTTCTTTTGATATAGTGAAGCTGGAAGGAGAAGGGGATCGATCGATCTCAATACTACTGGTGATTCTCAACATATCTGTCAAGTGATGCAATAGGACACCAAATTTTACATCTAGTTAGCAGGCATAGAGTCTCTCAATTTTTCTGATTATCTCTACTATTTGTAAAGCAGCTTAGAAACCACACTTCAATTATTTTTGGTCAATTGATTTTGCTTGTAATAGCTACCCTGCCGTAGGAAAAAGAAGGAAAGAAAAAGCAAAAAACGGTTCAAGGTACAAATGTTTAGGAGCAGAAAATTCGGTATAGGTGATTGAGTTGAACTTCTGTCGCTGGACTTACTAAGCTGAATGTAGATAGGAGGCTGATAAGAAGTAGGGGTGTACGTAGGACAATATAGGAGCTATTGTATATTATTTGAGCTGAATGTAAATGTTCTTTTTCCGGGATTTTTGTACAGAAGATTTCGCTTGTTTCGGGTTAGAAGAATTGATTGTTAAGGGTAAAAACTATTATGTCAGTATATTTTTTACGTAATAAACTGAGTGAATATTTGAACTGAAGAAATATTACATGCAAATCAATAGAGCAGAGTTTTAGCTTGTGCTTAAAAATTATCTCCTTTTTGCAAATCAATAGCCTGTTGCTAATTGCTTGCTCAGGCTTAATTTTACATTGTTTTGTCTGCGAGATGACTCTATCTCCTTACTGAAAAAAGCAAGCTAATCAAGTTTTTAACTTCAAAGTTCTGAGGTGGTTCCACCTTTGCAAATTTTGCTGAAAACACATGGTAAAATCTGTTGGAAGGATGCATTTTGGTGAAATCTTAGATCCTAGACTCAAATATTACACATATACCTGCAATGCATTTGGTGAAGCTGGAATGAGAAGGCTGTCAATATTCCAACACATCAGGGTATAAGAAACTTACTCTTGATGAGAAAAAGATATAAAAAGATTTTAAAAATTCCTTTACTACAATCACTTTGAATCCAGCACATATATACTCAAATTAAAGTTAAGCATGAGCTGAAGGCGAAGAATAATCGGAGAAGAAAATGCAAGATTGACAAAGGCGAATTGCATACCATTGTTGTCGTTGAGCTTCTCCCCAACAAGCCATGGCAATGATAAGCATTTATACCCTAGCTAACAGTGGTTTTGCATGAACCAAAGTGAGAGAGAGAGAGAGAGCGAGATGTGGGTGATGCTGCCGCAGTGGGGCTCTATATAATTGTTGTTAATTCTCTTCTTCTTAGTTTATGCTAATCATTTTCATTGCTGCGATGGATTCATTGAAGTTCTGCTTTGATTATGATGGCAGAAGAGTTTCTGCAGATCTCTGCAAAATAATATAGCAAGCTACGTCTATGGATGACCCATCACAGTTCATTTACTTAACTTACATACGGTTAGCGCAGGAGGTTTGAACTATGTTACAGTTCATCCATAGCTTTGCTGCGCTCAAGCTTTGACATTTGTTTTATGAGTTCATCTTTCTTTTCATGAATCGATAAATTTTCATTGATCCACGAAAAGATGACTCAAGTCAAATGCAGCGTTTGATGTTGTCCGTATTGAAGCGCTGGTCAGTTTATCTTCAAACTTCTGGGGCATTTCCACCTTTACAAATTTTGCAGCAAAGCCTTTACCACCGGGTGAAATTTTTTGCTGCATTTGGTGAAGATCTTAGATCCTAGACTCAGTTAACGCACATATACCTCAATGCATATGGTGAAGCTGGAATCCAACACACATGAGAAATTAACTAAACTGTGAGAAACATAGAAAACTTATTTCAACATATTTGTTTCCTCACTACAATAACCTTGAACGAATATTTTTATTTACTTAAAATAAACTTCTTCTAGCTGCATTTCCTAATGAATACGAAATTGAGAACAATTGTGGTTAGCCTCCGGGAGGCATCGCCTCAACGCCTCACCTTTGTAAATCTTGGTTTGATCTCAAACTTTGTGCTTTTCCTATTTTGATTGGTGTGATTTCTGTTCCTACTTCGGTCATGCGATGCAATGGAAAACCAAATTTACTAGGCATAGTCCATTGTGTCTCAATTGGCTGTTATGTCTTAGGTTTGATATGTGTGTTTTTCTGAAGTTTTCATTTATTCACCCTCGATGAATGCAGCATTTGATGTTCTCCATACTGAAAACGCTGATCAAGTTTGTATTTTTAAAGTTCTGAGACTCTGCAAATTTTGCAGAAAATACGACATTGTAAAATTTATTGGAATTAAATAATACACAAAAACCCTGCACGCCTACCCATTTGGTGAAGCTGGAAAATTTATTGGTCATGTGAGGCAATCAGTATTGGTATCTGGCACTTCACATCACGGTAAGAGTTACAGATATGTCTTATGACAAACTAAATCAACTGTAAAAGAGATAAAAGCTTACTTTGAATCAAGTACACAACCTTCAGCTTTTTTTTCTTTTTTCTTTTTCCTTTCTCTAGCTGCTTTTCACAATGGAAATGGGGCAAATTGTATGCCAGAAATCTAGTATCATGATCCCTAGAAATCATTTTCTGGACGTTTTCTCATTAAACAAACAGACAGCAACATGCCCGAAATATTAAGCGTGAGCTTGAGGCTTGAGCACAAATTAGAAGGAAAGGCAAGCACCAATCCAAGAAGAAAATGCAAAAATGAAGAAGGCTTGAGCACAATTGCATACCATTGTTGTTAAGAGCTTCTCCCTGAAAAGCCGGCAATGATAAACACATCTACCCTAGCTAACAGTAGTTTTGCATGAACCACCGTGAGAGAGACACAGAAAGTAGGTGATATTGCTGCAGTGGGTTATATACACGTGTGCGTGCTGGGGCATAAAATCAACTTTGTTGTTTCTTCAGCAATTTGCAAGCATGTGGCTTTGTTAACGTTCAGAAATTTTTAATGAGAAATGAAGAATATGGATGTATAGAATCAACTGTTTTCTTCTCCTTTGACAAGGCTGTTTACATTATGATCCTGTCGTATACACAGGAACTTTTCCTAGCATTGTTAAAATCCGCTTGCAGACTTTTCTTCTACTCATCTATAATCTAAATGAATCAAAATTAATTACAGGGAAAGCAAGTACAGAAGGGAGGGGTTTAACTCAGTGGTGAAAAATTTATGAGCTTTTTGATTCAATCTGAGAGCAGAATTCTTGATACAAGTCAAATCTCTTTTGCCATTTTAAGAATTCCCCCTTCAATTTAAAATATGCCTCCCATTCCTTCTGTTCAAACTTCAAGGAACAAGCATCAAATCTCAACTCTACAGGGCAAAGATCATCAAATAGTTCTGGTATTACAGAGAATTCCAAAGCCACCCTATTTTTGTCCACAAGCACTTCAAGGATTTCAGAGTTGTTAGAAAAGGCCAGTTGCAGAAGCTCAATGGGCAAGTCTGACCACAATCTCTTCAAAACAACCTCGTGTATGCTTGCTGGCAAGCTAATGTCATTTAAAACACTTGTAACTGCAGGAGATGATCTAAACTTACCAAAACCACACGCATGTAACTTTTTGCATAAAGTTTCATGAAACTCTGAGCTAAAAAGTTCCTTCCCTTGATCGTTACAGGGAATTTTTATTTTGTCATCTAAGACTTCATCAAGATTACCATTCAGATAACCACTGAGATAGTCAAGTTTAAGGTACTTAAATCTCCTAGGAAATTTGTATTCCTCATCAACTAGGGAGTACATCAAATAATCCTTAAAAAGCAAATGTTCTCTATGTGATTCTTCTGCCTTTTATACAGAATCAAACGACGCACAATATCTCTGTAATTCAAGCTTACCTGAGTACATAAGCCTTATCAGTGTAAAACCACTTTCGACCAAAAAAAAAAATATCAATGTAAAACCACCAAATTCATCTGGCTCAGAAAGCAGAGCAGACAGATCTTTGTTTACAATGCCGAAGCCCAATACAATTTCTTTCTTCTGCTGCCAATCAATCCATTCAGGAAGAGCGTCTTTTGAAAACTCTTCTTTTACAAGACAGCTTCTGCAATGGCACTCATGGCCTGACAATAAAAGATCTGAAGGGAGCTCCCATGCATAGAAGGATTTCCAAAGTTCTGCTATTTTCGAAGCTACTGAT